AGAGAGAGAGAGAGAGGAAGGAGCCCAATGGCTAAACATAGGTGACAGCCATACAAGGAAAAAAAAAATCTAATTATGAATGTGAAACCAAGGAGATATTAGATGCTACTGCTGATACATTCCCCATTCACTATAGTCATCACATTCACCATCTACCACCACTATCACAATGATTGTTGTCCACTGTTAAGGAAGACCACAAAAGTGTGGTGAGACAAAAAATAAAAGGATACGGCGTATAAAATATTATAGTCAGATATCTTAACTTATAGAATACAAAGATATAAGAATATAATTAACATATATAATATTTTTATTTCTTAATGTTTTGTTATTTTTATGTTTTATATATTTTTAAAATACTATATTAACCAAATTAAATCTCACCAATTCAAACCGATTGTTCCCGCTGATCCTAATCTTGTTATCCCTGGCTTCTGGGTAGTTCATCAAAAGCAGCAAATGCCATCGGTCATGTAAGCAGATATATTTAGACATATTATTGACAGGAATCTAAGCCATTTCCCCTTTTGTAAAGTGCTTCTCCAAAACTTTGTAAACTTAAATGACATACTAGCATACAACCATGGATGGTTCCCTTGCAGACACATTGTAACATAAAGTCAGGCAGATATTTCATAATGAAAATAAAGGAGACTGATATTTCTCACATTAGTTTATAATCCATAAACAGAGACACACCGGTTAAAAGCAATAGTTCCAACAAAAGTTTACGAAAGAAAAGGACAGGTACCATTTGAAGATCACGGCTCCCAGAAGTACTCTCCACAAGATGCGGGCGGGCACGAACATCATAAATGACAGGCCATTCAAACCAGGGAATCATCAAATGAGTTCCCTCAGGATAGACCTGTAGACAAGCCTTTCTTAATATACATCTAGGAAAGGGAATGAATTTTCAATAACGATAGTGCAGACAAAAGTCTTGTGAAAAAGATGTGAACATAGTAAGTGGGTAATGTTCTGGACATTTTACCAAAACTTATATTTCATTTTATGACACATGGGTAGCAGCACTAATGCTAAAATTTTACAAACAAAACACACATATCAAACTTCACAAAAATGTGAGTTCAAAATAACACGGTATAACCAAATACAAACCATAAGTGCACCTAAAGATACCCATACTTGTAACAGTCGAATGTTTCAGATTTACATAGTCTTTTTTGCTGACACGCCAATGAACATAGTCATCCTTATATTATTACTAACTTCAAATAGATGTTTACTTGCAAAGTTAGTCCAATTTTCCATAAAAACCAAATTACATGAGCTATATAGACTGCCTAACAGCCTGAAGCAATGATATCAAGATTTATTACGTGGGTGAACATACAGGACATTAGCTATTTGGGACAATTACCGGTTTACTAAGCATTGTCAATAGATTACACAGCAAACACGATTCCTTAGTAACCATCAAAGTGCTTGTGTCCCGAATGACGTAAACCTTAAAACAGCTAACTGATACAGTTGCCAACACACAGCAAGAACCAAAACGAAAGAGTTCTGCAAGTCACCAGCTAAACCTCAAAAGATATAACCGTTGATTGAGGAGCCCAACATCTACATCAACAAAAGCATAAAGATGAAAGGAAAAAAAAAATGAGCATTTTGAGCAATTAAACCATCAAAGTTTGCACAATAATCACATAAGAGGAAATTTATGTATCTCCGATCGGGTGTCAGGACCTTGTCCTTGATGCCCACGATACGATTGAAGACGATAGCGCGGTGACCGCCATCCACGTTGTAAAGGCTGTTGAGAGCAGCGTAGACTGCGGTCCCTCCGATGAGCGCGACCTTCACGAGCGTCCCCACCGCGGAAGGCACACTCGGTCCCTTCACGTTCTTGAAGTTCATCGCTACCGCCCCCGACTACCCGAACCTTTCTCACTGCACTCCTCTTCTCCCTCAAAATCCCTTAAACCCTAGTAAAGAACACACACAGACTCGGCGGCGATCGGGTCGGGCAGCTGCTAGGGTTTTGGGCGGGTTTGGGTAGAACGGAGGACAGGTGTGGTATTTTGATTGGGCCAGTGAGGCTTTCGAAAATAGAAAGACCGGTTGGTACATGTAACTTCCTTAAATTTACTATATGCCCCAACTGTCTCTCGCCACAAATAACAGTAGAGTGAAAGGCTAAATGGGACAAAGAAACCACCCGTGGCTGAGACAGCATTTATTGACATGGCATCGACGTGGCATCCAACGTGACACGTACTACCCACGTGATGACCTCATTAAATATTAGAAATAGTATTTTTAGCATGCTGTTTGTCCGTATTGCCCTTATCGTTCAGTCTTATTAACAAGAGGCAGTAGCGATCAGAAATCCTCGAAATATAGAAAAGAGCTAACCCATTTTGCTGAAATCTACAATGCTTTTATGTTTGCAGTTGCAGAACACCGTAACAAAGTGGGGAAAAGTAGAGGGAATTATGACCCATTTACCTCTCAGTCTCTAGCAAAGAACATAGATATATATATATATACTCGCACATTGTTTGGAACGAAGTACACATCAAGTCGGGTGGAGAAGAGCACAAGTCTCCATCTCGAACGTCCACTAGCCAGAGGTGGTGGTCCTCCTTGTTAGACTCCTTATCCAACCTCTTGTCCGCTTCACTCCTTCCACCTTACCTCCAAACCCAAAGTGGCATGTGCTTGCCTCATTGGACCGCTTCCAGATTCCCTGATGGAGAAGGCGGCCGATGTGCTTTCGCCACCTCGGGAACCCGCTGTGGTCTGACTGCTCCACCGTTGTCTTTACTTCCTTGGTTTCCTTGCCAATGGTGGTGGTGTCTGTTGAAGCTTCAAAGCTCTTGTCTTTCTTGTTCTTCGATAACACTTGCCCTTCGTCCTCAAACTTAATCGATATGAACGAGTCTATCAAGACCCAAACCACGTTTAGATGCATGGCACTCTCCAAGATAACCACAAACATGAAGATGATCTCTAGGAATGGGAAGTTCTAGGTTGAACTACATCGAACCATCAGTCATGCAAGAATGATAAGAAGGTAAACTGCAGATCAGGACACTGATCTCATACATACATATATTAGCCTAAACAATGGAGGAATGTGGAACGGAGTTTTACCTTCGAGGCTGGCAATGGGGCCTTCACGACCGGAGTGATCTTTGTTTGTGTGATGATGGGACTCGAGGAGATGGCCGAAAGCGCCCAAAACAAAGACCTTAGGAAGCGTGATGACTGGTTTCCTCTTCGGCACTCTCAAGTACCTCCTGCATAGAGGAAGATGACCTTGCTCGGAGGCCAAAACTAGGAGCTTCTCCTTCAAGCAGAGAGCACAGATGCCTACGACAGCTTCCATGGGGTGGAAATAACAGCATGGCTTGTGTTCTCCACGGTCATTCATGTCTGTTGTCAGGGTAGAACAGTGAGAAAGGAGAGGAGAGGAGGCAAGTGCAAGAAACAACGAAGAAGATGATCACAAGTCATTCGAAAGGATCTCAAGTTTCAGATAATGAAAGCGAGGTGTTCTTTTCCCTCCTTGATCGAATCCATGCCGCTCATCAGGCCTTCATGCGAATCTCAACGATGCCTGACGGAGCCGCGTCCGCGTCCTGAGCCGTCCATGATTCTGTGATCCAGGCTCTTTCGACCGAACCTAAACCATATACCAACGCTACGGCCCAAATGGCTTTCGAATGGGCCTCGATTGTGTCAATTAACAATGTGTAAATTAACGTCAAAGTCAACCATGGGCCGGTAATGAAACAGCCCGACCGGCCCATGTATAAGCAACATTAATGAGCCCAATGCGATGCAACTGCCCATTGGGTTATTGATCGAATCAATGGATGACCAATTCAAACCATAATAAGTATAATAAAATTATAAGAAAATTAAAATATAATTACATAATATGTCTTTAAAAATTATATTAGATATTTAAAAATAATAATTATGAATAAAAAATAAGAATCTTTTAATGGTTGACTTATAACCATTTGTTCAGTTTTACTAATTTATCTTTACCGGTCTCAGTAATTTGCAAGCCAGAAATAGAAACTCCATGTCGGTGAACGGATCGAGTTCACAGACGTCGGTCTCTCTCTCTCTCTCTCTCTCTCTCTCTCTCTCTCTCTCTCTCTAAGAATTTTGGCCGATCAACCGTGACAAAGAAAAAAACAGTGTCCTGTCGCGCGGGTCAACCCACGGAGTCAACCCCGCATTTCGACGAGTGTTGCTCCACCGTGCATCCTCCTCCCACCATCACGCGTCATTCGTTGACTAGAACGGCCGTCCACCGACTACTTGCCCTCGCCAACGACGAAGCCTTGTCCTGCGTCGCTGGTTTCGTTGGAGTTGACTCTGCCGACAGCAGGCCTCGTCTCATCTAACGTAAAACATTGACTTCATGGCCATCTATCTGTCTGTGTTCAGAGCATAGAGACGACAGGATGTGAGGGAGATAGAAATCATGATTCAGAGCAACTTGACGATCACAGGAAAGAAATCTTGAGTGGGTCTTTCGACCTGGTCAGTATCTGTAGGTTAATGGAATCCGCAGACTGACAGCAACGTCAAAAGATATGGCGTCCATACCCTACCAAGAGAGCTCAGCCTCTCGCTGGTCTGAAACTGGAGAAGGAGCCCGAGTTGGGGAAAGCCACCTTTGAGCTCTATTCGTCAACTTGTAATGTTTGTCTACAGAACATTCCTTTAATCGCTCATTGGCGACGCTTCCTGTTTGTTTCTGCTTTGGTCAATCAGCTTCGGCTGTGAAAGCTGACAATGTTAGATTATGTGATCCTATTTAATTAGAGAAGATGTGACAATACTTTGGTCAATCAGAGTCTCAGCTCTCAATCTCTTTTTTTTTTTATCTATTAATCCATCGATCTAGGTGGTCTAGGTGGTCCTGTCAAAAAAATAGGAAGAGAGGATAATGATCTAGTTCTCCTTACATATTGATATTTCAGATCCGACGATAAAACGTTTGTAGATGGTTTATTCTTCTGAACAACAAGAAAGGTACGTATCGTAATATATTGTTAGATTTAATTTTATTTGATTTCAATCTTGACATAAATTTTTTTTCGTATGACTAACAGATAAATTATTAAATTTTATTTTTAAAGTATTAATCACTTGAATCGATTTATGTATTTTAATTTTGAAATATGGAAATTAGAATGGAATGGTATGATCTCATTCGATTCGAAATTGTGATCTGATTTTTATTCTGATTGGAACCGAGATAAATTTGGAATCGGAGGATCGGCGGGCTCCACAGGAGAGGTAGATATAGAGGACGACGACAAATGTAGCGTCTGCATGGGAACAAGTGTCTCAAACTACGCTGCTAAATTCCACCACATGAACCATATGATAAGCGCTGTCCGGTCGTCTTCTCTCATCCTTCCATCCAACACAGAAGAGGACAAACCAACCTTAATATCTTCCATGGCCCACTTCATCTTTATCCACATCAAATCTGAGGTGCTCATCATGCATCTCGAACACATCTGACACAGGCTTATCCTTCCTCTTCCTCCAACCTCTTCCAACCTGGTACTCACCTCTCTCTCTCTCTCTCTCATTCATGAAGCTTTGTGAAGGGGTTTGACCCCACATTGGATGAAGCCAAAATAGTACGACGGCGAGATATTTTTGCTTCTCTACTTATCCTTTGGGTGTCCTTTACATAACTATCCATGTGAAGTGTGTCAGTGGGTGCATGCAATTGTTTTGGTAGAATCGTTTGTTAGATATGACACATTCGCTAACGCAAGAGGCAAGATTGCAATGGCCCCACATCCTCATGATGGGAGTCATTTCGATGTAATATTTTCTTTCTTTCTTTCTTTCTTTCTTTTTATTTCCATCTTCCATAATCTATGTAAAACCGAGAGAGAGAGAGAAGAGAGAAGAGAGAGACAGTCTAAAAAATATATATATCCTTGGATGGGTGTTTAATTATTCTATTCTATCCCCCTTATTGTTATAGCATTGTTCTTAGAGTTTTTACGTGCCAAAGATTAATCATCTTATCATCTTGAGTCACCTAAAAGCCAACCTGCCCAATCTAGCCATAAGATAACAATCATCATCATCTAAAGCACATTTAACATGGTATTAATGCATGTACCAAGAGATCAGAACATGAAACGGTGTGCTCTCTCTCTCTCTCTCTCTCTCTCTCTTCCTTTTCTCTAAAGAGAAATGGAGGCTGGTGAAGTCCAATCAAATTGTGGGGTTATTGATCTATACAAAATGTGAGTTCTCTCTTTTTAGTTTGATAAGGGAAATGGAGACTGTTGAAGTCTGACCAAATCATGCATGGAAGAAAACGTGGGGGAGTAACAATATTATATGAGTTGAGGAATGTTTGCTTGCTTGCTTCCAAATGATTAGGTCCCACTAAATCCACTGTTTCAATGAACTTTAGCAAGTGGGACTTGTGAATTCTTTCTTATTGAAACATGGTATTTATTGAGAGAAAGAGTTGACTTCTTTACCTTTTTTATTTTTATTTTGTTATATCTATTTGGATTGCTTTTTTTAGTGGTGTTTGGAAGACCAGTAGATGAATCCAAAGGTAGCAAGTCTTAGGCAACAAGAACAACAGTGGGGGAATTGTGATGTTTCTGAATGAAGACCTCAATGATGAGCAAATTATAGAGGACTCAATTTGGTGATTTGGCTGCAGGTAAAATGACAAGAAGACAGAGAATTTAGGAGACTGTAATGAGTGGCGGGACCTCAAGAAGATGAGAACATGATGCACATCTAACTTGGGTTGGAATAGACAACAGATCTGTGTTACAGTTCATCTGGTCAGGAAGGTGTTGGATTTCTACTGTGATCTAATGCTGATGGATTTGTCTTTTAGCATGTCACAGATCATTCAGGTTCTCACCGTCAAGCAAGACACAACACATGTCATGAGGGAAGGAATAAGAAAGCTGAAAATTATGTCTGATGATCTGTTTTTTATTAAAGTTTTGACTAATTATACTGATAATATTTTTAACTATTTATTTTGTTTGTAGATGTAAAGATGCAATAAAAATACTCGTTCCTTAATTATTATACATGTTAAAAATGTAAGAATGGATCATAATTGGAAGACTGATTTATTACAATTTTGACTTGATATATTGTCTTTTCTTTACGAAAAAGAAAAAGAAAACTATTACATGCCAACGTGGTAAACTAATAATCTTTGAGTTGGCAATCTCAACAGTAAACACATCTTGTATATACTTTTATTTCTCTGAAAAACAAAACATACAATATTTTCTTTAATATGTTTGATACAACCTATTGGTTGGGGTACATGTCTAGCATACGATTGAAATAAAATTAGGTTATTTTTCTGAAAAAAATTATTTTTTATTGTTTTTATCAAAAGGTTTATCTATTTTTGTTTTTTCTATAGTATCCCTTATTTTCTATAATCTTACAAATATCCTTTCCTTCTCTTCTCCGCCAATCGCTTTTGTCGCATTTGCCCAATCGATGTCGCCTACCCTTCCCCGCCTATTGCCACTGCCTCCTGCTCCTATCGTAAGGTCTCGTCATCTTTGTATGATGTCCTTCTTCACTTGTCGTCGTAAAGCCTCACCTCCACCTCTATGCATTCTTCCTCACTACGATCCACCTACAATGCCTCTCCTTTCTATCATGACTCCCTTCTATGATGCTCAAGCAATTGTCATCCTCTATAGGGTCGTTGCCCCTTATGCCATTGCCAACAATAAGTTATTTCTTATAACAGGACCAAATATCATATTAGAATAGTGACACGACAAGGGCCAATGGTTGCTCGAGCGTATCTTTGTATGATATCCTTCTTCACTTGTCGTCGTAAAGCCTCACCCATCGTGCCCCTTACCTCCACCTCTATGTATTCTTCGTCACTACGACCCACCTACAATGCCTCTTCTTTCTATCATGACTCCCTTCTATGATGCCCGAACAATCATCGTCCTCATTAGGGTCGTTTCCCATTATGCCATTGCCAACAACAAGTTGTTTCTTATGACAAGACCAAGGATCGTAGTAGAATAGTGACACGACAAGGGCCAATGGTCGCTCGAGCGTCATCTTTGTATAATGTCCTTCTTCACTTGTCGTCGTAAGGCCTCACCCATCGTGCCTCTCACCTCCACCTTTATGCATTCTTCCTTACTACGACCCATCTATAATGCCCCACTTTTCTATCATGACTCCCTTCTATGATGCCCGAGCAATCGTCGTCCTCAATAGGGCCATTGGCCCTTGTGCCATTTCCAACAACCAGTTATTTCTTATTACAGGACCAAAGACCGTAATAGGATAGTGACACAACAAGAGCCAATGGTCGCTCGAGCATCACGAAAAAGAGTCGTAATGGGAAGGAGAGCCATCGTAAATGGGTCACGATGAGAAAAAAGTAAAGCCTCTCGATAACAGGAAGGGGAGGGTATTGCACAAAGGCGATTGAGGCTCATGGTGGGAGCAAGAGGTAAAGATGATGATCGAGGAAGGACATGTAATGTTGATAGGGTGAATACAATGAGCAGAAAAGGAAAGGGAAGGACATTTACGAGATTACAACAAATAAGAGTTTTATCTAAGAAAAACAAAAATATGGGATGCGTTTGGGGAAAAAACGAAAAATAATTTTTTTTTCAAAAAAACCATCTTATGAAATTTATAGAATATATATTTTTTTAAAAAAATTAAAGATATTAAATCATGCTTAACCAGTGGTCAAGATCTAACACATATGGACTTAAATTTGATACTTATCATTTGTGCAACAATATACTAATGTCATAACAGAGATTAAATGGTATAATTTTTATGTATATACACAATTAAGTGCTCAATAGTTGACATATTCTCATGGTTAAGGGACATGTAGAGCACGTATTTTTACATAATAAAAAAAATAAACAATAAAATGCACTAAAATGGTGAGTGGGAAAAAACATGAGAGGCAATCAGACACGGTGGTGATTCTGCCATGTCACCCATCTTTAGAAAGAAACAGCCTTTTTAATGTTTTATACACAGTTTGGTAAAAACCCACGAAATGCCGATTTTTTTATGTCGGCCGCAACACTTCACCTCTCTCTCTCCGTCGCCTTATCGTCTCTCACAGTGCAACGCCGACTTGTCCTTCTCCCCACCCATGCATCTCTCTCTCTCTCTCTCTCACAGTCAACGGATGTGTGAACAGCACATACACCCTTCCCTCCCACTTCTGAGATTAACAGCCCCCCCATGAAACCCCACACCACAAGAAGATAGAGAGAGAGAGAGAGAGAGAGAGAGAGG